ATGGAGGTTCTCGAATTTCCCACCGGTAAATTGCCTCTTCTCTATCATTGAAATGAAATTAGGCTTTATCTCGAAATTGTTTGCTTGAGTGGTGGGGGCTAAGATCCCACTTTGAGAGGCATATGGTTCAGTCGCTCCAAGTTGCTTTAGTGACCTTTGATCACCCATGCTTTGTTGATTAGGGTTATTGACAAATGGGTTGGGAATTGAGCCTGTGGATGGTTCACCCTCCTCACTTGAAGTGGGTGAAGATGGGGTAGGGGAACTTCTCACATCCTCTTCAAGTGGGTCTTCACCTCTCTCCCTTGCTTGTCTCCTCAATTGGGCAAGAGTACACTCTAGCTCGAGGTCTATGGACACCAAAGGCTTAGAGCAATTAAGCATCCTGTGCATATACAAAGCTAAGAAGAAAGTGAGCACTGGCAAGATACGGAAAACAAAAGAAAAGAAAAGAACTAGTCTCAACAAGAAAATAAACACACAATGGAAACCGTGTCCCCGGCAACGGCGCCAATTTGACAGGCGGTATTTTAGGTCGTTACTAAGATACCTCTATTAAATGATATTTGTAGTCCTAAACATGCAACTAAACGAGTATAGAGGCAAGTCAAGGGTCGAACACAGGGAAACGATTAAGCACCGCTATTTATCTCCTAATGTTAATCTAGTTCGATCAAGAAGTATGGTGGGTGAAGTAATGACTAAAGGGGATAAAATAACAATTAAAACTAACACTAGGGGAAGGATCAAACATGCTATAAATTCAACGAAGTTAGGCATCGGAAAATAGGTTTACATGTAATCCAAGCAACTCACGCAAGGGAATATCAAGAATACTCTTTAATCACCTATCAGGATTAAGAGCATTCCTAGCTAGCATACACTTACACTATCATCGTAAGGCATACAAACTAAGGTCATGCAATAATCAATCACCTAATGACTAATCCTAAATCGCACTATCGTCATGATTTAGTTCAAGTCATTCAACCACAACATGCATATGGCCATAAACATGGAGTGGCCAATAAGTATAAGAACAAGGAAGATTTAATCATAAATATTCCAAATTAACCTAGCCTAACATACATCAAACTCAAAGCATACCTTTCACCAAACCCCTAGCAACAAGAAAATACTCACTATCCATAATTACAACTACAATCATACTAAGCAACATTATAACCAATGAAATAGTAAGAAAGACAAGGTTTTATCAACTAAACTAACAAAGGTAGGAACTTTAATCATGAAAACAAGAGAAAATAGAGAAATATACCAAAACCTTCATTGAAATCCAAGTAAAGAACCATACATCATCCAAGCTCCAAGCTTGACCATACATCAATGTTGCAAAATACTTCTTCAAAAACTAAGAGTAAAACTAATGTTGATGGGCAATGAAATTACACTAAAAACTATCAAGATTCTTCTATACAAAAGTGGCTAAACCAATAACCTAGAAAAATTCCTCAAAAGGTCTCCTCCAAGGTTTCTATGCTAAAGTATCCTAATGATAGAATGTTGTCCAATGTTAGCCGTTTTTCCTCCTTTTTGTTATTTGGACTGAATTCGGGATTTGTATCCGCCGCAGACAGGCGCGCCCGCGCGTTAAATGATGGCGCAGCCACTCCTCGAATTGCGCGTCCGCTCCAAAGTGGGTATTTAATGGTTGGTCTAGCTCATCAGCGCGTCCGCGCTCAAGGGAGGCGCGCCCGCGCATAAAGGTGGCGCGCCCGCGCCATTTGTCTGGTCTGGAATTATCTTGTTTAGCCCTTGTTCCTACCATCTTCGAATCAACGACATACACCTAAAATCATGGAACGGGAAGGCAAAGCGTAATACAACGAAAGGGGAGGGGAGTATAGACTACCTAAACCACATGAATACACATTACGCATCACAAAGGTAGAATACTCAAACTAGGCGGATCATAGCAAAAACATACTAAAATGGACTAAATTATTATTAAAACTACTAGAAAAGACTACCCTAAGAGCAACATAAATGTCACTCATCATGACCTCAAGAAAGGTGTCTTTTGACGCCTGGCCCTCATCAACTGAGTTGATATCCAACTACCTGATGTAGTCCTTGGTGCCCCGGATGGTTGGACCCCCTCCAGCGAAGCCGCCTGCTATTGTATAGATTGGCTCTTCATCAGTGTCTGAGCTAATAGCAAGTTGGGCTGCCTTTCTGGACGGTTGTCTATTGTTTGTTTTTAGGGTCACCTTGGACTTCATGATGTAGAACTTCAGCACCCCTTTATCAGCCAAATGGTCCAACAACCATTTGAGGCTATAATAATCGTTGGTATCACGGCCTATGTCCTCATGGAAATGACAGTATTTGTTCTTGTTCTGATTTTTGACGGAACCTTTCATTGCAGCCGGTTTCTTAATAGTCACCTGGTCTTTAATCTCCATGTGGATGGTGTAGCAATCCTTGTTAAACTCGTACTTGGGAACGTACAGTTTAAACTCTTTTTCTTTCTTCTTTTTCTGGGATGGCTGCTTAGAGTCATCAGATTGAACCGCCTGACGTAGGACCTTAGCCCTTCTTTATCTCCCTGTTGTATGGCACCCAAGTCTAGACTTGTTTTCTTAGCAGGGATGTTCATAGAGAAGTTAGAAGCAAACAAGTACGCAAGTGTCTTTAAGTTATTGATGCAGCCAGCTGACAGGTCATCGAACCATCATTAGGCAATGCCCTTCAACGTAGCCGGGAAGCATCGGCACCAGGTGGCATCATCCAACCCTGTAAGTACACGAGGTTGGTATAGGCCATCAAGTGATGTTCAGGGTTGGTGGTACCATCATAAGTACCTACCAACACATTCTTAACCTTGGCCGGCTAGGCCGCCTCGGTTATTTCCTTGGAGAACGTAGAAGGTTGTTCCCCAAGTTTGAGCAGACGAAGCTACCAGTCCAAAGGTTGGACATTCTGTGCCGCTTGACCCCCAAAGAGAGCCGGCTGCATATATTGTTGCCCATACGGCATGTATGGCTGCTGAGGCACATACGGAGGCAAATGGATTATCTGAGGGCCAAAGTGGACGGATAGGCCGCCTGACTGATCCTCTTGGTTTGATTGCAAATACCTCATTGAGGTATTCTGAAAGTTGTCTGGGTAAGTCGACGTTGAGGCCGACTCAGACAGTTGCGGACTTTTCTTCTGTTGGATTAACATTCGGGCGTCAGAATAAGTCTTCTTTGATCCATCCGGCTGAACATGCCGGATGACCTTCCTTTTCCCTGTTCGAAGAATCAGATCTTAGACAGATCAATCAAGGGTCGGTTCTCATCCTTTAGTTTAGGATGCAGAGTAGGCACTCGGTCGTTGACTGGCTTTTTCTTCTTGGCTGACTGACCTCTGCTGCATCCAGTCGTCTTCTTGTTGATTAGGTCCTTGATTTCCCCTTTGAAACTTGTCATGAATTTCTAAGTTCATCTCTAGAAACTAAGGTTGCGCCTTTTGCCACCTAGGGTTAAACAGACGAATGTCCGATTGGCTCGCTTGGACCAACTTGATCTTCGCCACGTTCCCTTGCTTCCATGGGACGGGTGCACCTGGTTCTCCCGTCTGGAGCCACATAAGTCTCGAATTCGATGTCGTCACCACTATCTTGGTCTGTATAGACCTCAAAGTCGGCCGTAAGCCATTTCTCATTAGGAGGCGGTATAGGTTCTTGGGAAGCCATCTTAGAAGTACTCTCCCCACAGACGGCGCCAAATGTTTCGGGGTTTTTAGTGTCCCTCGGGAGAGTTACAAAACCAAGACTGGATTGCGATCGCCTGTACCTGCAAAACAACGGAGACTCTGGTTGGGCGGAGTTCCGCCTTCGGCGATCAAGTTAGAACGTGTTCGGATGATGTTAAAAGTGCGGAAAGTAAAGTATCTTCCCGGATTCCATGATCAGGAGTAACTATCTACAATTAATGATTGCTCTATTTTTGTGAATATTTCTGAATGTTTTACCACGGGAGAACATCTTCCTATTTATAGGGTCTCGGGATGCATGCCGCCATCCTAGGTTACGGAAACTAGGGGTGTACAAAAACTGGACCGGACCTGAAACCGGACCTGAACCGACCTGATCCGGACCGGACCTGACCCGGACCTGTTGATTCAGGTCCGGTCCCGGTCCTTAAAAATCAAGGTTCCCGGTTCCGGTCCGGACCCGGTCTAAACCCGGGGTTTTCAGGTCCGGACCTGAAACCCGGAAAAATTGTTTTTTTTTTTAAAAAAAAAAAAAAAAAAAAAAAAAAAATTAAAATAATGCTGCTGCTTCCTGCTTGACAGCTTGAGGCCTTGAGTGACGCTTGAATTCTCCTTCATTTCATTCTAACCCTAACAAACACAGGCTGTCTCCACTCTCCCCCTCTCCCTCACGCAGACACGCAGTCACGCAAGTCTCAGCCGAGTCAGCCCAACGCGGCAACGCCCACCGCCGACACCTCCTGCCTTCCTCACTCTCTCAGGCGAAGCCCAGGCGCCCACCGACCACCGCATGAGACAGCTACTGCGCGATTTTCCATTTCTCCGGTAAGTTATTTTTTTTTTAATGTAAATCTAAATTATCTAATTATGTTTGGGTATTTTGTATTCGAAATAATGAATTAAGTGTTAGAATTTATATGTTTATTCATGTTTCAATTGCTTATAATGATTATTTGATGTTTGCATGTTGAATTTCTTTTTTTACTTCAATGTTTTCGAATTTATGTTTTTTCTTTTTTGGTTTATTTTCGAATTTCTTTCGAATTTATGTTTTTTTTTTTGGTTTTTTTTTAGTTTAAAGTTTAGGGTTTTAGGGTTTAATGTTTATCTTCGAATTTATTTATTTTTATGTTTTGGTAATGGGATTGTAGCAGAGGACAATTAGTTTTTCATCATGATTGCATTGTTTATTTTTGTCAAGTACCTGAATTTCTTAGACTCCTTTTGGTTGGACTTTGAAATTAGAGAAAATGCAATTATTTTGATTTCAAAATTAGAAATTGAGAGAAAGGTAGAAATTAGCTTGGTTGATATATGATAAGTTGGAATGTGCCTCTGAAATTGACATAAACTTCAGCAAGTAACGTGTAACACAAAAGAGAAAAATAAAAAGGAAGAGAACAAACAATGAGATTATGAGAGCAATGAAATTTTCTGACTGGAACTGCTGGATAGAGTCTGAGAGTTTCTGTCAATGCAGCATGTAAATACTGCAGTCTTTCAAGTGATTCTTCTGTCAAACTAGCAGCAAGTTCTGAAAATTTTCCAACTCCTTCCATTTTCGTAATTTTCCTTACTTCTTCAGCAACCTTTTCCTGTATATTCTGGTGTTTACAAAGCATGTAAACAAACCATGAAAGTGTAACTGCTGTTGTGTCTTTACCCGCAATTACAAAGCTCAAGATTATATCTCTCAGATACTTCAAATCAGTGTCGCTCTGCTCCAGGAACCTTGACAAGATATCATCCTTTTTCATCTGCATTTCCTACAAATTCACACAGAAAGAATGCATTAATCTCCTCAGTAAACCGATATGATTACAGACTTCTAAGTTATGATTCACTTACTGAGACATTGCTTTGTGAACTTTTCATTAGTTCCACTTTGTTACTGATTAATTTGTAAACAAAATCATCAACAGTTTTGACACTTCTCTTAAGTTTAGCCTCTGCGCCAATGTTGAGAAATTTCTTGATAGGCCAAAAGATGTCTACATATCGTAACATGGTTGAAGCACTAGCATCATCAAAAGCCTGGCCAAATTTCTTCCCTTCTTCATTTGAGCCACACATACTGTCTAGATCAACTCCAAATGCAACTTTGAAAATAGAATCTAACGTTGACTTCATAAACAAGTCCTATAGAAAGTTTCAGAAATTTCTGGGTATTGACATAAATTTCAGAAAGTTGGTTGTGTTGTGTTGTGTTGTGTTGTGTGGGCAATGCCTCTCTCATTTTTTTCTTAACATAAATTTCAGAAAGTTGAAAGTATTTCTAATGTGTATTGATATTTCTAATGTGTATATATGGACACTTTTTAAGCTAACTTATACTTTAAAATTTGTGTTTATTCCTGCTAGGCTGCTAAAAGTATGGACTCAGATTATTAAGATTAAATAAGTTGGCTAACCTGTGTGTAGTTCAGGGGTTCTTATTTTTGTTTTTATTCTTGCAGGGAGTGAAGGAAGTCAAGGAACCACGGATTCTTATTCTTGCAATGTAAGTTGCTCTTAAATTTTTTTTATAAAATGGTATGTGTATATAATTGTTACTTTAAAATTACTTATATTGTATATAATTATATTGTAGATGGAGAGCTCTCAATCCAAACGGTCTGCTTCTTTTTCTGAACAAACGTCACAGCCACTTTCTGAAAAGGATATGGAAGAATTGCAATCTACTTTGCCTCCTGATAAGAAGCTAAAAGCGGGGCGGGAATATATATGGAACAGAAAAAGTAAGAGGAAAGCTGAGTATTGGAAATATTACTTAGAGTACGTCGAGAATGGAAAACTACGAGCTGAATGTAAGTTCTGTCCTAAAACTTTTGCTGCTGATGGTAATCTTAATGGTTCAAAAAATGTTAAAAACCATGCAGAATCATGTCTCGGTAATCCTATTAATATAGAAAAAGAAAAGGGCAAAGAAAAGCAAACTAAATTGTATTTTGATCAAGAACATGAGAGTAGTGAATTAAAGTGTGGGAGTAGGATTATTAACTTGAATGATGTTAGAGAGGCATTGATTCACATGATTATTGTTGATGAGTTACCATTTAAGCATGTGGAAAAATCCGGTTTTAGGCACTTTGTGCAAGTTGCATGTCCACAATTTCACATTCCATCTCGTGTTACCATTGCTCGTGATTGTTTAAAGTTGTATTATAGTGAAAAAGAGAAATTGAGAGAAATGTTTAAGACATGTCAAAGAATTTCTGTGACCACTGATACTTGGACTTCAATACAAAGAATTAATTATATGTGTCTTACAGCTCATTTCATTGATAATGACTGGAAATTGAATAAAAAGATCATAAATTTTTGTCCAATTTCTAGTCATAAAGGAGAGGCTATTGGAAAAGCAGTTGAGGCATGTTTAGAGTATTGGGGTATTGATGATAAACTTTTTACTGTCACTGTTGATAATGCTTCTTCAAATGATGTTGCTTGTGCACACTTGAGTAGAATGGTTAGAAGAACAGGATGTATAAATGATGGAAAAAATCTCCATGTTAGATGCATTGCTCATATCATTAATTTAATTGTGTGGGATGGTATTAGAGAACATGGTGTGTGCATTGATAGAGTTAGAAATGCTGTGAAATATGTTAAGAATTCCCCTGCAAGAATACTTAGATTCAAAGATCTTGTGCAAAAAGCAAACATAGATTCAAAATCTTCTTTATCCTTTGATGTCCCCACTCGTTGGAACTCCACATACATAATGTTGGAAACGGCTTTGAAGTTTCGACGTGTTTTTAGTGGGTTATCTCTTCCTGATGGAGAGGATTTGAATGACAATGAAAGGCCTCCCGAACCCGAAGATTGGGAAAAAGTGGAGAGGTTGGTTTTGTTTCTAGGGGGGTTTTATCTGTTAACTAAACGAATTTCTGGTTCCCATTATGTGACAGCTAATAAAGGTTTAGGAGAAATTGCTTCTATGTATGATATGTTGAATAATTGGGAACAAAGTGAGGACTTGAATTTTCAAGCCATGGCCATTGCAATGAAAAAAAAGTTTGATAAGTATTGGGGGGATGTGGATAAGATGAATAAGTTCATTTATGTTGCTCTTCTTCTCGACCCTCACTCTAAGATGGTCATTGTTGAATTGACACTAACGGATATGCATGGACCGGAAAAGGGTACAAAACTTGCTAATGATGTGAAGGAGTTCGCTTACTCTTTATTTGAGGAATATAGAAAAATGTATGCTACTTCTAATATTCCAGATTGTGGAGATAATATGTCAATGGATATTGATAATAGTAAAGGAGTGGGTTCCGATTATGTGAGGAAACTAAAAGAAAGAGCAAAACGATTGAAGGGGACAAGTGGGTATGCGATAAGTGAGTTGGATAGGTACTTAAATGATCAATTAGGGCCGGAGGAGGAAGAACAAGATGCATTGACATGGTGGGGTAAGAATGGTCAGCGTTATGTGATTCTTAATCGCATGGCACGTGACATACTAGCCATCCCATTGTCGACCGTTGCATCGGAATCTGCTTTTAGTACGGGAGGTCGTACTCTAGATCCATTTCGGAGTTCTTTAACTCCTAAGGTAATGCATCGTTATCTTTTTATTTTATAAAATCAAGTTTGTTTATATCTTAATATGACTTTGTTTATACATATTTGTGTAATATTTTTGTATTGAAGATGGTTCAAGCGTTACTTTGCACACAAGATTGGCTTAGAGCTAAGGAAGTGCCAATTGTTGATGTGGAAGAAAATTTGAAAGAGTTAGAGGAAATAGAGAAAGGTAGTAATAATTTTATGTATTTGAAATTTTGTTACACCAAATTTATTATTTCATTGTTATCAATCATTAATATATTCTATATTGTATTTTATTTAGAGGTGCAACGTGGTGAATCTAACGATGTAGACGATGAAGTTGTTTTCGTGGACTCATTAGTGTGAATCACGCGATCAAAGGGAAAACAACTCGTTGGAGAATTTATGTATTCCTAGTACTTGAGAGTTGAGAGTTGAGACTTAAGAGAATTTATGTAATTTTATGAGTTTTCGTGGACTTATTTGTATTTTCGGTGGACTCATTTGTATTTTTGGTGTTTGAGAATCGGGACTTTATGTAGTTTTGTAATTGATAATTTTGGTTTGTATGTAATTATTAAATTATGCAACAGGTCTAAAAATCACAAAACAGGTCCATATGCAGGTCCATATGCAGGTCCAACAGGTTTTGTATTAAAAAAAAAAAAAAAAAGAAAAAGACACAAAACAGGTCCATTCAGGTCCAAACCCGGACCGGACCTGATTTTTCAGGTCTGGCCCGGAACCGGACCTGTTAATTCAGGTCCGGTCCCCGGTCCTCATAATTACCCAATTCAGGTCCCCGGTCCAAACAGGTCCGGTCCAGGTCCGGTCCGGTTTTGGACCGGTGTACACCCCTAACGGAAACCTAGGAATGGTGGGCTTTCTCGGGAATTGGACCAGGAAGGCCGCCTTTTCCCGATGACTGGGTGTGCCACGTGTTAAGAGAGGATTGGTTCTTTTGAACCTCACGTAAGGTGACATGTGTCACCATCTGATTGGTCCACGTGGCCCTGGGTATTTTTACCCAAAACACCACCCATCTCCTACGTTAATTTCACTATTCTACGTTGTGGCCCAACATATAGTAACCCTTTAATTTCACTTTTCTACGTTGTGCCCCAACATATATCATTTTCCACACTGTAACCCCAAAATACATTTTGTTTCCATGTGATAACCTTGCCGTTATCCCGCCGTTAAAAAATTCCGTTAGTAGGACCCACTCTCCATTTATTAATATTTTTTATCAATTTGCGCGTTGGAAAACCTTCCATTAAAGGTTTGAGGGGCTATTTAAACCTTAAGGAGCCAAATTGAGCTAAGATTTGGCAAAAAAATAACTTAAATGCCTCGTTTTGATTATTAAGAAATGTCTCTTTAACGGAAGGTTTTCCGACGCACAAATCAATAAAAATATATTAATAAATGGAGAGTGGGCCCCACTAACGGAATTTTTTAACGGCGGGATAACGGCAAGGATACCGTATGGAATTAAAATGTATATTGGGGTTACAGTGTGGAAAGTGATATATGTTGGGGTACAACGTAGAAAACAAAATTAACAAGGTTACAATATAGAAAAACCCTATTTTATTTAAAAATAAAACTCCACCCATCTCCTCCACCAGCCACCAGCACCACCGGCGCAGCCTCCCTCCCAGCCCCTTGGCATCGGCCGCGCCTAGATCCCCCTCCCCCGGCGCCGGAAATGACCCCCCTCCCTCGCGCGTCATCCCCTTCCCTCCTCCCCGGCAACCAGCGAACCCGCTCTCCTAAAACCCTCCCCCCCCCCCCCGTAAAACCACCAAAAACCCATCTGCCACCTCAAAATACCCTAATCAGACCTCCCCAGCCACCGCTAGGGGTTCGATTACGGTTTTTTCGGGGGTTGGGATGGGTTTTTGGTGGTTTAACGGGGATGGGAGGGTTTTGGGAAGGGTGTTCGTTGGTTACCAGGGTGGAAGGAAGGGGGTAAGGTGACATGCGGGGGAGGGGGTCGGTGCCGGCACCGGGGAGGGGGATCTGAACGCGGCCGGCGCCGGGGACAAGGAGGGTTTTGAGGGCACCGGTGGTGGGTGGCTGGTGGAGGAATTAGGAGATGGATTTTTTTTTTGTAAGAAAATTTTAAAAAATATTTTAATTGTTAATTTTATTTTTTTTTTGAAAAGTTTTAATTGTTAATCAACCATAATTAAAATTGTTATTAAGAGTTAATTACATTGTTAAACAAATTTATTAAAAAAATTAATTTAACCAGTCATTCAGGTTGCAGGTAAAATAACTTGTTTAAAGCAAATACTTACCAAAGTTTGTATTTTTCCGAAATAATCAAAAGTTTGACTTGTTTTTGGCGGACTGCTCAAAGTTTGTATTATTTTGACAGTTTTTCCAATAAAATAAAATAAAACCATCTCCTCCACCAGCCACCATCGTCGCCAGCCTCCCTCCCTGTCCATCTATGCCGGTCGCCCCCGGATCTCAATCCCTGGTGCCGGCGCCGACCGTCCCCGTATCCCACTCCCCGGTGCTAGTGCCGAGCACCCTCCCTCGCGCGTTACCCTTCTCCCCCTTCCCTCTTCC